TTGGGATTACAACACTCACATATCTGGGAGAAATATGGGACTTTATCCCTAACATAACTGAAGAGGAAAACATAATTGTTTTGCTTTTCCTTCCATATTGTGAAATTATAATCTTTATGATTATTAACCCTGGAAGCCTGAAACAGTGCACTCTAGCTCTAAAAATCAATGCGAATGATTGCCAAAGAGAAAAGAATATATTTGCAGGAAAACTATAAAGCTCATTTTTAGATGGTGCTGGCTTAGAGTACTGTTCTGGTTTGATGCAATTTTTCAGCAATGGGATTCATACTTCTTGGCTTTAGGATATCAACACAAAAAGCTACTTTAATTTCTCCCTATTGCCTCCAGGGTTTATCTGACTTTCTACAGTAGTCCAGGGAGACGAAAACGCCACAAATTCTAAATATGTCTATTTGCAGGGTGTGGCTACGAGCAACTTGAAAATTTTGACCGTATTCTGTGGAAACCCACACTTGGCTTGTGATCACTTTCAGATTTTACCTCTGTTTGGAGAGCTAAGCAAGGTTGAGATTGATTAAGAATTGGATGGAAAACTATCAACTCATCTCTGGGCAGTTAAATTCCAAAGAACGCAATAGTAAAACTACCTCTATGTTGCTTATGGCAGTGGTTGCCAACCAGTGGGCCGGGGACCACTGGTGGTCTGAGAGAAAATTTTGATGGTCCGCAGAGAAATGTCACCCTCAAAGCACCCTCCAAAGGAATTAATCCAGGCTGCACGGGAACACAAGGTTTGCGTCGCTTGCATTGTGAACAACACGAGGTAGTGAGGGGAGGCGGGAAAGGGCGGAGGGGGGTAACTTGACCCACTCGCTCCACGCGCCTGGCCTGGCCACCAAGCTGCTTCTTTCCGCTGCTTTCTTCTGCTTTTGGCTGCACGCAAAGAAAGCAGCAAAAGTCTTTCCTTCTCTCCCCCAAACTCAGCCAGAGATGAGTCTTTGGGACCCTGCAAGGCCTCCTGCTCCAAGAGGCTGCACCGGCAAAGACTCATTTCTGGCAGAGTTTGCGGGAGAGAAAGAAAGACTTCTGCTGCTTCTGCTGCTTTCCTTGCATGAAGCCAAAAGTCTCTCTTTCTCTCTCTTTTTCTCTCTCTCCCCCTGAGACAGAGCTGGAGACGGTATCCTGCAGTCCTAAATAAAGAACGATCGATCGGTAGGAAAACAGGGTGGGGAATTTTCCTACAGACTTTTTTGGGGGGGATTTTCCCAGGGTCTCTGGCCCGCAGGATTTAAAATTATGAGTCTGGTGGTTCCTGAGGTACAAAAGGTTGGCGACCCCTGGCTTATGGGGTCTTTGGTGCTCTCTGACATGGTTGTTTTCTTGCAGACATTTCATTACCCAATTAAATAACATCATCAGTGTTAGTGAGTGTGGGGTTTTCTCAGCATTGGCACAGCAAACTACAGACAGTCCTCAACTTACAACAGTTCATTTAGTGACCATTCAAAGTTACAACGGCACTGGAACAAGTGACCTATGACCATTTTTCAGACTTATGACTGTTGCAGCTTCCCCGTGGTCACGTGATTTACATTTAGATGCTTGACAACTGGTTCATATTTAGGCATATATATTTATTGCGGTATCCCAGGGTCACCTTTGATCCCTTTTAAGGTAACCTCATTTTTTCAAACAAAGCTAGATTTACTTAACAGCGGCGTGACTAATTTAACAACGGCAGTGATGCTTGTCACAAGTGTGGCAAGAAAAATGGTAAAATGAGGCAAAACTGCCCGAACATAAATTTTGGCCTTGATTGTGGTCGTAAGCCGAGGACTACCTGTACTGCAAGAAACTACAAACTACAAACCAGGAGCAAACCCACACTCACTAGCACTGATGATGTTACCTTGTCAAGTAATGAAACAACTGCAAGAAATAACCAAGCACTGCACCAGGAACAACCCCGAGTTCAACCCCGAGTTATAAATATTCTTGTCTATGTTTCTTCCCAAAAAACCAACATCAATTGACCCAATGGGGACCCCAGGAGTTGGACTTCATTTCTAGTCAGCTTTACCACTTAAATGTAGTCTGGACTGGGGGCTAACCACTAAAATGGCTATTCGTCCCGTCCGTTTTGAAGGTCAGGTAAATTAAAACCAAGAACCTTCAACCGGTAACCCGTGTAAGTTGCTTTGTGGATGAAACACTTGGCTTGGATTTTTTTTCTCCCAAATTTAATCTCAGAGGTTTGACAGGGGTGGAGGAAGAACAGCTTTTCAATGACTTTGGGGGAGGAAAAAAGATACGATTTGGAAAGGAAAGCAGCATTTTGCAGGCAACAGAAGTGAAATGATAATAAGTGGTCCTCGACTTGCAACACTTTTTTTTAGTGACTGCTCAACGTCACAAGGGGAACTGAGAAAAAGGAATTTATGGCTGTTTTTTGAGCAGCATCTCTGTGGTCACGTGATCAAATTTGGGCATGTGTTGATGATGGTTGCAGCATCCCAGGGTTTTGTGATCACTGTGTGTGATCTTCTGACAAGCAAAGTCAATGGGGAAGCCAGATTCATTTCACCGTCATGTTACTAATTTAACCGACTACAGCGATACCCTTAACAATTGCAGCCGGAAAGGTCCTAAAATGGGGCAAAACTCACTTAACAACTGTTTCACTTAGCAGCAGAAATTTGGGGCTCAACAGTGGTTGCAAATGTAGGACAACCTGTATTAGGAGAAAATAATTTAAGAACACCAGCCTGTGAAAATATTTACAGACCCCTCACATCCTGGACATAAACTGTTTCAACTCCTACCCTCAAAACGATGCTATCGAGCCCTGCACAGCAGAACAATTAGACACAAGAACAGTTTGTTCCTGAACGCCATCACTCTGCTAAACAAATAATTCCCTCAACACTGTCCAACTATTTACTAGGTCAGCATTACTATTACTGTTAATCTTCTCATCGCTCCTCATCACCCATCCCCTCCCACTTGTGACTGCATGACTGTTACTTTGTCGCTTGTATCCTTACAATTTATATTAACCGTTTCCTAGTATGATTTGATTGCTTATTGTACCCTATGACTGTCATTAAGTGTTGTACCTCATGATTCTTGACTCTCGACGAATGTATCTTTTCTTTTATGTACACTGAGAGCATTTGCAAGACAAATTCCAAGACAAATTCCTTCTGTGTCCAGTCACACTTGGCCAATAAAGTATTCTATTCTGTTCCATTTAAATGAGAAGCAGCTCCCTGACTGGGTTCATATCACACAATAAATTAAGCAAATGCCACACTAAGCGACACTCTTGCTTTTTAAACTGTGTCTCCCCAAGGAATAAACTAGACTGCTTCCCCTGAAGGTGTGGTTTACACAACTGGCTTCCACAACTCCCACCACACTGGGATTAAGTTTAGCTGGTTGTGTAAATCCATCTGGCTTTGGAAGCAAAGTTACCAGTGGTTCCATCTCAGATTGGGGAGGGGGTATATGTGAGGATTTTCTAAAGTTACTCTCAGTTGTTCCTTCCTGACAAGAAGATTTTGCAGAAGAGAGTAGCCAATCAAAGCTGAGCTTTTACTTTTGTTTCTACAGGTAGTCGTCATGCCCCTGTTGGAATCTGATTCTGAGGGAGTGGTGGAGCAACTGACAAGGAGTGGGGGTGTGGCTCCAGTGTCTGTGGAGGAAACTGGGGAAGGGCAGAATCCAGATGGGCATTCAGAAGAAGACCCAGGCCCAACTCCTCTTCATCCTAGGGCACGCAGGGAGGAATGGAGAAGGGAGCAATGTGGGTTACGGGGGAGAAAAAGGCCCTGATTCCCTTCATTAGCTGCAGCTGGAAAAACAGGATAAAGAGGGTGTTTGCGCACAGCACCTTGCTGGAAGCAAAGCATGCATTATCTTTGTTTGTTAAGTCTTATCTGGGTTCTGGCATCCTCTCAACTGTATGTGTTTCGTTATCTTTTGAAGTCTGCAATTCCTTATCCTGCACTGTCTTGTTAATTGCTGCAGCTTTGTGGTTTGTGTTGGTTTTTATTTATAATTTAATTTTGGGTTCGGACTGAATTTCTTCCCTTTAAAAACTGTTCTTGGGAGTTTTTTCTCCAGCCAAAGGTAACTGGACATTGGGGGCCAAGTTGGAGGTACTAAAGGGACTTTATCTACTTTTGTGACTTTGTTGTCTTTGCCATCCTGGGCCATCACAATAGTCCTCGACTTACAACTGTTTGTTTAGTGGTCATTCAAAGTTACAACACTGAAAAAATGTGACTTATCGCCGTTTTTCAGTTACGACCTTTGCAGTGTCCTCATGGTCACATGATCAAAATTCAGGTGATTGGCAACGGGTTCATATTTAGGATTGTTGCTGTTTTCCCAAGGTCATGTGAACCCCTTTTGCAATCTTCTGGCAAGCAAAGTCAGTGGAGAAACTTGATTCACTTCACTTATCAACTGCAGGGAATCACTTAACAACGGTGGCAAGAAAAGTCATAAAATGGGGCAAAACTCCCTGAACAAATGTCTCACTTAACCACCGAAATGTTGGCCTCAATTGTGGTCCGAAGCCGAGGACTACCTGTACTTGGAAACCACTTCTGGACTTTGTGCTTGAGGTTGAGGGGGTGGGTGGAAATGTGAAACTTCGATTTTGGGTTTTGCCGATTAGTTAGGTTTTGTTGTTATAGAAAATGGCTGGCTGATATTATTATATAAAAGTAAAAAGTTGAGGTTTGATGCTATTATCCCTTTGCACCAAAAGGAGTTGGAAGTCAACCGTTTTCCTTTCCTTTCCTTTCCTTTCCTTTCCTTTCCTTTCCTTTCCTTTCCTTTTCCCTCTCGCTCTACACTTTTCTCTTCCTTTATGCTCTTATTGTTTTCTTCCGTATTTTGCACATATATTATATTTTGAAAAAGTAATAAAAATTTGAACACACCCACCCCCACCCAACTCAGTGGGGAAATCCCAGCACACACCACCCCATCCCCCCTCTCCTAGGGTGGGAAGGGGGTCTATTTACATCTTTGAAGGGCGTCGTTGGGATCTCCTGGGCTGTCTGGAGGGCGGGGCTGCCGGGCCCTTTGGGGAGGCAGGGGGGCGCAGCCAGGGGCGGTGGCGGCAGCTGTTCGGTCTCGGGGTGAGCCGGGCTCTCCTGCCCAGCGAAAGACCCCGACGGGGCAGCGCTGGAAGAGTTCGATCTCTCCCGGCAGCCCCCTTTGTCCGTCAGTCCCCGGCCTTGCTGGAAGTGGCCGGCCTCCCCTCCTCTTTCCTCCTCCTCCCTTCGCTCTTCCTCCTCCTCCTCTTCCTCGCCGGGCTGCCGGTGGCTCTCCACGTCCACCTCCGGCTCTTCCTCCTCCTCCTCCTCCTCTTCCTCTTCTTCCTCCTCGCTGCTGTCCTCGCTGGGGAAGCTGCAACTGGTCCCGCCGGGGGAGGGAAGCCGGGGCCCGGCCGGCTGGAGGACAGGCTCGCGGTCGGACGGCAGGAGCAGGAGCGGCGGCGGCGGCGAGGAAGACCGGCCCGACGGCTGATGGTGTTGATGGAGCTTGGCCAGGCTCTCCGCCGAGTCCTCCTTGCCGCCCACCGGGCGGAAGGCGCTGGAGTGGTGGTAGGCAGAGCCCCCCTTGGGCCGCGCTTGGCCGTCCAGCAGGTGGGCAGCGGCGGGCAGCGGGCCCTCGGAGGTGGGAGGGGACCCACCGCCCTCGCCGCCGCCCTCGAAAGCGCGGGGCTCCCGGCTGCTGCCCCCGCCCGCAGTGCCACTTGCTTGGGGGGCAGCGGCGGTGGTAGGCACCCCCAGCCCGGCGGCCGCCCCGTCGCCGCTGGGCTCCACAGCCAGGTCCAGGAAGGCTTGGCGAAGCAGGCTGGAGCTCTCCCCGCCCAGGGCCGAGCAGGCCGGTTGCGGAGGAGGAGGAGGAGGCGGTGGCGGGGGCTGCAAGTAGGTGGGCAGCCCAGGCAGGCCTCCCGGTGCCCGGGGCGGCCAGAACATACAGAAAGGCGGGTAGAAAGCAGCGGCCGCCGCTGCCGCCGCCGCCGTCGAGTCTTTGCGGCTCCCGGGCCAGAAGAGACCGGAGAGACCCGCTCCGCCGGCCGACGGGGCTCCCGACGCCGCTTTGGGAGCCCCCGATCCGCTTGGAGCCGCCCCGCCCAGCCCGTCGCCCTCCTCCTTTTTGTGGCAGAGGCTGAAGGCGGCGGCGGCGGCGGCGGCAGCCGGGAAGCCGTAAGGGTGAGGGAAGAGCCCGCCGCAGCCGGGGAATTTCTGCAGGACGCCCCCGAAGGAGGCTCCCTTGCTGGGCACCGGGATGACCGGATAGTTCCGCGGGGCTTTGCCGTGCGCCATAGCCGCCGCCGCCGCCGCCGCGGCCGCCGCTACCGCTTCTTGGAGCTCGCTGTCGTCGTCGAAGCGAGGCCGCTTCTGGCTCAGATCCGGCGGCGGAGGCGGAGGCGGCGGAGGCCCGGCGAGGAGGTGCGGGCTCAAGAGGCCTCCTCCTCCTCCGCTTCCTCCTCCGCCCGCCAGGCCCACCCCGCCGGCCCTGACCGAGGCCAGAGGATGGCAAGGCGGCGGGGGCGGCGGCGGCGGCGGCGGCGGGTGCGAGTGCGGGTGGTTGGACGGGCCGGCCGAGGAAGGCAAGGCCCGCTTGCGGCTGCCGCCGTTGAACATGGCTTTGACGTCCTCCCAGGCGAAGACCAGCTCGTCCTGCGGGCTTTTGTCGGTCAGCTTGAGGTGGCGACGCCAGGAGTTGAAGTTGGCGGCGTCGGGTTGCAGGTACTTGGCGTCGGGCGTGCGGTGCGAGTGGAAGATGAACTTGTTGGGCGAGAAGTAGAGGCTGCAGTAGCTGCACTTGATGCACTTGGCCCGGGAGCTGTTGTAGCGGGCCGGGATGAAGCTGCCCCGGCAGCCCCAGGCGCACTCGTGGGACACGTCGAAGGCGAAGTTATCGGGCAGCTTCGGCGGCCGGTTCTCGCCCAGGAAGGACTTGCAGAGGCGCTCGGCTTCCCGCTTGGTGATCATGCCGCAGCGGCGGGAGGAGATGGGCATGGCGCCGGCCCGGCGCAGGATCTCCAGCTGGACGGGCGTGCACTGCACGCAGGTGATGCCCAGCGCCACCCGACGGTTGTGGATCTCGTTGTAGCTGAAGTTCTTGAGCAGCGTGTTGGAGATCTGAGCCAGGCAAAGGCGCTCCTGCCCGTCGATCACCAGCGAGACGATGGGGATGCCGTACAGGATCACTTGGCCCACCTGGTTGGGCTTCATGGCGCCCGAAGCCGAGGGGACCACCGAGGAGGAGCCGCCGCGGGAGGCGGGAGCGGGCTGGCTCAGCGGTTCTGGTGGGAACGCGTTGGACGGGGCCGACAGAAGGAGTTCGGTGGAGGCCGGCAAAGGACTGCTGGCCATGGTCGTGGCCCCCTTGGGGGTTCCTCGCTGAGCGCTGGGGAGAGAGAGAGAGAGAGAGAGAAAGAAAATGCTGCATGAGGACTAGCGCCTTGGGAAGGCCGACTTTGATTCATTAGCGGCTCCCTAAAGCTGCCTTTGCTGAGCAAGAGCCAGTCTTGTGTATCAGTTAACTGCTGGATCCTGAATTAAGCAGAGAGAAACCCCCAGATCCGTTTATCGATAACTATGGATCCTTTTTGGTCTCTCTGCCACAGCCGCCACAACCTTGTCATTATAAAGACAGAATTGGAGACTGAATGACTTCCTTGAAGTTCTGGAAGAGAGGCTGGAGAGGGAACTAAACAAACTATGTTGAGAAAAATGACAAACTCAACAAACATCAATAGGCGGCTCTGTTAACTAGGAGACAAATTTTTTATTTACGAGTAGCCCATCATGGTACAGGCTACCAGCCTCAAAGAGCCTCCAACCAGGTAGTATCAGCAGGGTCTGACTGGATCTGGAGAACCGGTAGCGGGAATTTTGAGTAGTTCGGAGAACCGGCAAATCCCACCTCTGACTGGGCCCGCCCCCATCTCTTCTCTGCCTCCTGAGTCCCAGTTGATTGGCTGGGTCTTCTTTGGTTGCCCTGCACAGGAGAATGGAGCTGGAAAGCAGGTTAGCAGGTCGGGAGGGAATGTAATTTTGCAGTATCCTTCTCCTGCCACGCCCACCAAGCCACACCACGTCCACTAAGCCACGCCCACAGAACCAGTAGTAAAAAATTTTGAATCTCACCACTCGTCCTACTGCATTAAAACTGGGCTGGGCCTATTAGGACACGATCCTGTTTATTCAGAAATAACTCAAGGTTGACTCAGCCTTCCGTCCTTCTGAGGTGGGCAAAATGAGGACCCAGATTGTTGGGGGCAAGAGGCTGACTCTGTAAACCGCTTAGAGAGGCCTGTAAAGGCACTGTAAAGCAGTATATGCTATTGCTACTGCTATTCATAGTGCTTTTACAGCCCTCTCTAAGCAGTTTACAAGATCAGCATATTGCCTCCAACAATCTAGGTCTTCATTTTACCAACTTCCGAAGGATGGAAGGCTGAGCCAACTTTGAGCTGGTCAGGATCGAACAGCTGGCAGTGGGCAGAATTAGCCTGCAATACCGCATTCTAACCACTGCATCACCATGGTGCCAACCGTTTAATTAAAATGGTTAGCCAGAGCCATTATTTCGGCCACTATAAGCCAATGGGACTCTTCTTTTACAAGCTCCAAGGGAGAATCTCTCTCCAACTTCATCCTTGAGTGGATGTGGGTTCCCTGAAATGACCATGTATTTGGAAGAACTTATAGCTTCCTGATCCTGACGTCACTCTGTTAAAATTGTGCATGTGCCGTCTCTTTACAAAGTAATGGATTAAAACCTTTCACGGAACAGGTGGACCCATGAAGTTCCTACAGGTAGGCAGGGAGGTAGGGAGGTAGACAGACAGATAGATATAATTAGATTAGATTAGATTAATAGATAGATAGATAGATAGATAGATAGATCAAAAGATAGATAGATAATTAGATAGATAGATAATTAGAAAGTAGATAGATAGATAGATAGATAGATAGATAGATAGACAGATAGATAGATATAGATAATTAGAAAGATGATAGATAGATAGATAGATAGATAGATAGATAGATAGATAGATAGATAGATAGATAGATAGATAGATAAAATTCTTTTATTGGCCAAGTGTGATTGGACACACAAGGAATTTGTCTTGGTGCAAATGCTCTCAATGTACATAAAAGTCGACTTATGACCACAATTGTTTGTTGCTAAGCAAGACAGTTGTAAAGTGAGTTTTGCCCCATTTTACTTCATTGCCAGAGTTGTTAAATGAATCACCCAGGTGGTTAAGTTAGTAACATGGTTGTTAAGTGAATCTGGCCTCTCCATGGAGTTTCCTAGTCAGCAGGTCACAAAAGGTGATCCCATGACCCTGGGACACGGCAATATCATAAATACAGGCCAGCTGCCAAGAATCCAAATTTGGATCACGTGACCATGGAGATGCTGCAATGTTAAGTGTGAAAAATGGTCATAAATCACTTTTTCAGGGGCACTCTAACTTCAGAAAGTCACTAAATGAATTGTTGTAAGTTGAGGTTGTAAAAGTCCTGAAGGCAAGACAAGAAGCAACGGGCGGAAAGCAACCGAGGAGAGAAGCAATCTAAAATTAAGCAGAAATTTCCTGACGGTGAGAACAATTCATCAGTGGAACAACTCGTCTCCAGAAGTTGTGAATGCTGCGACACTGGAGGTTTTTAAGAAGACATTGGACAACCATTTCTCTAAAGTGGAATAGGATTTCCTGTCTAAGCAGGGGGTTGGACTAGAACAGTGGTTGCCAACCAGTGGGCTGGGGACCACAGGTGGTCTGCGAGAAAATTTTGGTGGTCCGCAGAGAGCTGTCCCCCTCAAAGCACTCTCCCCAAAGCAGTTAATCCAGGCTGTGAGGGAACACAAGGCTGCACTGCCCACATGGCCCACCCACCCACTGGCCCCCACCCTTTGGCCAAGCACAAACCTTACCTTGAGTAGAGCCACGCGAGCAGGAACTGGAAGGTAAGACCAACGGCGGGGGAGGGAAATCCGCCCCGAGGTGGCTTGCTGACATTGGTGGGAAAGCCAGTCCCATATTCCAGAGCTTCAGTAGTCACAGGACTGGCCCTTTGGTCATCCCAGAGCAGCTCCTCAAGTCCATGGCAGGCCGGTGCACCAGTTGGAGGAGCAGCTACTCCAGGATGACCAGTCCTGTGACTACTGCAGCTCTGGAATATGGGACCGACTTTCCCACCAATGACAGCAAGCCACCGCCAGTCAAAATTCATATTAGTGGTCCGCGGGATTTAAAATTATGAGTTTGGTGGTCCCTGAGGTCCAAAAGGTTGGCGACCCCTTGACTAGAAGGCTACCCAGGTCCCTCCAACTCTGTTGTTTTGTTATTCTGTAAACAGACTCGGGAGTTATTGCCGTAAGATCCATGAATGGTAGCATTTTGACAAATGTTGACCGATCTTTGCTAAATCTTCACCGCTTCTCTTAGCTGCTGCTTGTGCCTTGTTGTTAAGCAGCTTTCTCTAATATTCAAACAAGATCCGCCTTCCTGTCATTTCAATTCCTTCCTTTGTGGTTCCGTATTGGATCAGTAGGGAAGAATTCTCAAGTCCTTAATAACTGCTAATTATTAGCACTTATCAAGGCTTAATTTCCAGCAATGCCCTTCCTTTTTGTAAGGCTTAGTTTCCCATCCCTGATCATCCTTACTGCCCTTCTCTGCACCTTCTACCTCTGAATCTGTCTTCTGGTCCCCCAGAATTGGACACGGGGGTCAAACCGATATGAAACTACGGTTTTGCAACTTTCTTCAGTCTAGAAGCTATTTTTATCCCATTTGCACCCGTTTTGACCCCTTGTGGCCACTTTTTTTTTGCATCCAATAGAACCAAGGCTGATGTGCCAAGATTCACCAAAATAGATCCTATCTATTGAGACAGTCATTAGTTAATGATTATTTAACACAGAAGCATGCAATAAAATTTAGCTACAGGAGTTCCCCCCTCTTCTAGTTTCTCACTCAGTCTGCTGACATAGTTTGCATTTGCAATTTTCTTCAGTGGAGAATTTTCACGGCGTGGTGGTGGTGCGTTATGATTTTGTTACAAGGAAGTGGGCAAGACATACAAAATCCTGCTTTCCTCATTGAACAAGTGCCTCAGCATTGAGCTGACAGCCTCCCCCGCTTCTCAGTTAACAGAATAACCAAGTTACAAGGGACCTTGGAGGTCTTCTAGTCCAACCTTCTGCTTTCTAACATCTAATGGTTGTCCAGTCTCTTAAAGAAAAACCTCCAGTACTGGAGCACCCACAATTTCTGGTGGCAAGTTGTTCCACTGATCAATTGTTCTGTCAGGAAATTCATCCTTAGTTCTAGGTTGCTTCTCTCCTTGATTAATTTCCACCCATTGTTTCTTGTCCTGCCTTCAGTGCAGAGAATAGACTGACTTCTCCTGAAATATTGGAAGACCGCTATCCTGTATCCCGTGATCCTTCTCTTCACTAGACTAGCCGTGTCCAGTTCCTGCAACTGTTCTTCATACGTTTTAGCCTTTAGTCCCTTAATCATCTTTGTTGCTCTTCTCTGCACTTTTTCTAGACTCTTAACATATGAAACAATTAAAATTAAATTATAGGAGAGGTTTCCAGTTGGGGGCTCATTCTCAGAGGCCCTTTTCAGTTGGGTTGGCTGGACAGCAAGGATGTTTCTGGAAAAAAAAATGTTGAAAAAGGTCTCACATAACACCAACAGCTCCACCAGTTGCCTCTTCTCCCACCGCAAGAAAAATGTTAAAGTGCCCTGAGAATAAAGTAGTAAAACAGAAGCCGCTTTTGCAACATTAAAACAAGTTTTGAGAGAGATTTGTCTGGCAGAAATTGCACAAGGGAACAGCACTAGCATGGCTATCCAGGATGCATACTAACAAGCGAGAAAGCAAACCGGGAGAACTACATGCATAAAAATATCCCTCTTTTCGAAAATTAGCAACAGGAATTTAACAAAAAAATTAATTAGCCACAGGACTTTACCAAAGCATCACCCCACTCCACCACACCCCAAAATCAGCGGGCATTCCCCCACTATCTCAGTTCTCCGTGGACTTGTGAAGGACTTTCTTAGCAGCTAAGTAATTAAGATTCAGTACAGCCACAAGTCCAGAGAATGTCAGTTTGATGGGAAGGTAGATTGAAATCCAAGCTAGTCATTCTTGATTGGAAGCTGGGAAAGTGTCTTCCACTTTAATTAAGTACTGTCAAATGTGACAGCTACTGGTTCCCCAATTCTTTGAAGTTTTCTAATCAAGTATCTTTTTTTTTTCCCCACTGAAGACTGTGGAATTAAAGTTAGCCTCGCCGGCTGTTCCCACTTGGGGAAATATTTCCCTTGTTTTGAATG